GAGAAAATTAAAAGAAAAAATACTGACATTGTAAAAAGAGAAAAAAGACATTAAGTTACAAGAGTGTGTGCTTCATTTTTAAGTGGAACTTTTTCAGAGTCTTTTTTTTTTTCAATGCAAATTCAAGTTGTTTAATTCTAAATATTTCCAGACACTCTGTGTTTTGGTTCCATACTCTTTCACTCTCAGCTGATTGTCAGCCAGGAAAGAAAATAATTTGTCTAAAAATATTTAGACAGCTCCAAACCTAGAAGAGCTACAGGTTTGTTTGGATTGTGATTTCCTAAAATTTCATCTACGTCATCCTGTCAATGATTGTTTAGGGAGGACTGGTTCCACAAGTTGCTGGTCTAACACGTACGAGGATTACTGAACTGGCAGGAGGAATGTAAAAGAAAGAGCACCACTTGCTCCAACTGTGGTGCCCCTGAGCAAACCTTTCAAACACCAACTTATCACATGAAGCCGCTGAGCTGTACGAGCCAAATCAAGAAGAAAGCCTGGCTCTCAGTGGTACTTTTCCTCACTAACTAACCAACCAATACAAACCAGTTGTTTGGAGATTTCTGCATGATTGAAACCAGTATTAAGTTAGACAAAATCCAGATCTGTTTTCATCTCTCTTGCCCCTACAGAGCTTTACTGAGAGTCTTCAGACACTGAATCATCAGGCGAAACCCTTCGAGACGACGATCTGGTAATTGCAGCAATTTTATGCTCAAGACATGATTACACAGTGCAAGACAAATCTACCAACAAGTTTTATTAGAAGACGTAAAACAGATCCTGATGCTTTGATTAAGTTTTCATGATAACAAAACTTTAAACACAAAATCAACACTGCATATTCTTGAGAAGTTACTTTTCAAAAACTACAAGAAGATGTTTGAAATGGCTTAGGCTGAGAGGTGAAATATTATGGGGTTTTGTGAACAGCTGACATGTGAGAACAGCTGCCTGAAGTGCAACAGAGAGACAACTGTAATTCATGACAGAAATATAATTAGAGTAAAGACGACGAGAGCCTGGAAGAACTCACTTCATCTGTTAATAGAACAGAGAGTAAGACAACTGATTTGCAGCTTTCAGTGTGTTTCGTTGCAAACAATCAAAAATCTTCTTTGTGTTTGACAAGCAACCCAGTTTCAGAATGAGACACTCACCTCTTATGGGTGAACGGAGTCCATCTCTGATGATAGGTGACTGTTCTCCTGAACAAAACAACAGAACAACAAACCAGAGTCAAAACACAGGACCATGTGTAATGTGGGTCTCCAAGGATTCCTCCTGATTATGATTATGCCAGATTTCCTGTTCCATTAGGGCAATGGGACAAAAGTGGAATTCAGACAAGTTTTTTTAATTTAAAGAAAAAAAAAAGTTATTTTCTCCAAATCTCTTAATTATCCTTAGTTAAGTATTTTGAAATTAGCAGAATAGAGCTTATCGAAAACATTTTAAAATACCCCTAGCATCGGCTAAAATGGAGGATTTACAGACAATATTATTTAAACACTACAGTTGATGTAATACTTTGTCTACATGATAAAAAAAAAAAACATGACAAAGAATCCATCGCAGGTCGGTTACTGGTGACATTTGGACCTGCTATAAGCAAACTCCTGTCTGTTATTCACCCCGCCTGCTACATAAGTCAGAACAGAAACTTCACCAGATCATTTTGGATAACTGGGTGATGTGTTCAGGGACCAGTCCGTGGTAGAAACCCACATGTTGGTGATTTAAACGTAGACTGAACCCTCACACGCTGCCAGGCAAACATTTAATTAAGAAGGAACTACATTTCAGTCACTAAATAGAATAAAAGAAAAAAAAAAAAAAAAAAGAACAACCCCCCATCCCCCAAAGGAAAAAAAAAAGAGCAAATGGACATTTCTAAAAGAATGAAATGGCTGCAGTTGTTGTCTGTTCAATCTTCATAGTTTGACAAATGGGCAGCCATACTGCAGTGATCCTTTAATAACTAACTTTACTAAAGATGAAAGTCTAGTTATTTTTCCGGATAATCAAACATGTCATCTGGTACATAGCTTTGACGAACAAGAATGTACTTACTAGTCATCTACATCAGCTATTAATGTAAGGCTCTTTCTGAAAATTGACTTGATCAGTGATGTATTTGAAAATTAAAATTCTCTTTACTCACAACCCACTACAAGAATCTTTTATAATAGTGAGGAAGCATAACCATACAAACTAAACACCAGAGCCAAATAATGACTCCTTTCTTCTCAAAACAGTCATGTAATTAATGTCATCTGAAAGAAAAACATGCTTTATAGGACAGCTACAGTTAAGTTACATGTTGTGCAAAAAAGAAAACATACTTTTCTTTAGCACAAATTGCAGCTTTTCTCCTGAGTACAATCCACAAAAGCTTACCTAGCACCCTTTGATTCTGGTGTCGTTTTGTTTCAGTGTCTCTAAATGTGTCTCAACATTTCAGCAATATGACCAGCCTTAATCTGCTTGTCAGTGCTACTGATACCATCAACTGTTTTGTATAGATTCATGCTGGAAGTCTGAGAAATGCGGGAAACCTCCTCAAATCTTTCTCCTTTTATAAACCTGCTCCTCAGCTCTTCCCTCTGCAGCTTTAAACCCGGTGACATCTGTGCTTTCCCCACATTCACACCATGTCCTGATCATGATGACTGCATGTCAGTGCACACTATTTTATCTTGTATAATAGATCGTAAATATTTAATCTCACAGTCATAAAACATCTCATCATGAGAGCATGTGCTGCATTTTTCACCTTGAACATAATTGAATTTATCGAAGAGCAGTATTTGGGGTGGTCAGCAGAGCATGAGGGAGTCTGTGTCTGTCTCCTTTAAAGTGACTGATAGGGGGCGCCACTATAGCTCACCTGGTTGAGCTGGCGTCCCATGTTTAGGGGCTATAGTCCCCAATGCAGTGGTCGTGGGTTCAAATCCCGCTCATGACCCTTTGCTGCACGTCCTTCTCCCCCCACTTTCCTGTCTCCCTCTCTCTATCCTATCCAATAAAGGCGAAAAAGGCCAAAAAAATATCTTAAAAAATAAAAAAGACTGATAGAGTTCCTCTGACACCCATGCCAGTGTGTGATACTTAAAATTAGGACTTGTGGCAAATATGAAGTCACAAAATAATTCTGTTAATTAAAACTGCAGAATTAGGTGGTATTGACTGGGGTCTCATGGGATTACAACACATAAAGCAGGGGTGTCCAATCCTGGTCCTGGAGGGCCACAGTCCTGCATGTTTTAGATGTTTCCCTCTTCCAACACACCTGATTCAAATGATCAGCTCATCATCAAGCTCTGCAGAAGCCTGATAACCATCCTGATCATTTGAATCAGGTGTGTTGGAAGAGGGAAACATCTAAAACATGCAGGACTGTGGCCCTCGAGGACCAGGATTGGACACCCCTGACATAAAGTAACTCAATCATTCAATTCAGTCATCAGGAGCAACACGACTGACGATGTCATAAAAAACTGAAATAAGGACCTGTGAGAAATGACAACACGTGTAGCTCTATAAGAGAGTAATTCTATCAAATAAAATAGGAATTATAAGTGTGTAAGCAAAACTAAAACTACAAGTCCATTAAAAATGGCCACAAATAAGGATAAAGAACAAGGCAAAGATAAAGTTCAGTTTATGATATGTTTTAATTGTTTAAATGAAACTGTTGCACCAACATTTCTACAGCAAGTCATATGATTAAACAAAACCAAAACAAAAGTCAAAATAATTTAAAAGCACAAACAGAAATCAATCAGTGATCAATGTAATCAAGCTCTACATGTTCTGACACAAGCAGGAGCCCAAAGTGAACGCCGTTCCTAAAACCAGCGTTAGGCCGTGAGGATGCCCAGAGGCGCCGACACACACGCTCCGCTGTAAATACACACCATGTGGCTGTGGGCGTCATCCTGCGTGTGCTCGCCCTCCTCCTCTTCCTCGTCTTTCTCCTCCTCTTCGGCCTCGCTGCTCTGTCTCTGCCCCTCCTCGTCCTCTGGCTCCGAACTCCACTCGTCTCCTTCCTGCCATGTCTCGTCGTTCTTACACTCCTCCGCCTTCACCAAATCTGCATCCACACACACACGGAGGGACAGAAACCCCCAAACATGACACGAAAGTGTTAGAGCGGCAGTCGTGACATACACTGATCCAGTTCTACAAATTCAAATAAATAGGAAGGTTCATTTTTTCCCACGTCTGCCTCCTTTAGCAATGAAAACATACAGATCTTGTAGGAGCTGAATCTGATTTTAAAACAATGGGAAGCACAAAATCAACTGTCATTTTGCACAAGGGCACTCCATGATACACAATATTCATGTTCTTTTATCATACTGCTGAAAAAACAACTTTATTTACATAGAAGTGTTCATGACAAGAATTTACAAAGAGAGCAGAGTGACGAAGCAGAAGCAGGATACCTAGAAAACCAAAGAACACACTCAGGTCATGCAAAGCAAGTTAAAGGAGACATAAGATAAAGTTAAAAGAACGACAAATCAACTTAGTAACTTTAAAATGAAATCGTCTCTACTTGCTACTGCTAAGCACAGGAACACAAAGAATTATTTCTGGGCTAAAAGGTTGTGGCTTTTAAATATTTCCACTGGCTCTAATGAACACTCACTACTGAGTATTTATGTGCAACGAGGGCTGTAGATTTTTATGGGGGCATTATTGTTGCAAAACTATTTGTCCATGCGTATGGAGAGCTGTCTGTCTGTGTCTCAATCCATGTGTCTGAAGTGACATTTGTCAATGTGTAAAAGAAGTTGTCAGTGCGAACCGGAATCTGCAAAAGTTGTCTCACAATTTGTCTGTAATCAGGCTTTCAAATGTGTAAAAAATGTGGACACGTACAAAGAGTTGTCAATGCGTACTGTCATGTCTGTCAAGTTTCTGTTTTGTGTGCAGGTTTTATGTCTTGTCTTTCCTGTTTTATTTTGAAGTCACTTCACCAGCTGTTTCTGTTCCAGCTTTACTTCCTACACCTGTCTTGTCTCACCTGTTCCCTGATTACCTCCCTACATCTGTTTCCCATCTCCCCTCATTACCTCGTGTATATCACCCTGTGTGTCTCACTGTCTCTTCGCACTTTCACAGTCTTCGTACCAGCGTTTTCCAAGTCATAGTCACAGTCTGTTTGTTACGACCTTGCTTCTGTTTTTGGACCTTGCCTTTGCCTCTTGATTTTTGGATACCTCTGCCTGATGTGACTGACCTTCTGTGTACCGAACCCTGAACGGTAATAAACCTGTCTTTTTGCCTGAACCCTATCTGTGTCGAGCATTTGTGTCCAGCTCTGTTCTGTGTGAGTTCTTGACACGTACAAAGGTATTCTTCGTTAAATGTTTTCAGCATTTGTATTCTAATACGTAGACTTTTCAACTACAAATACCTTTGTATACGTTGACAACTCTTACGTGTCCAAATTTTAATACAGATGAGCAGATTTTTTTACACATTTGAAAGCCTGATTACAGACGGACAAACTGTGAGATGACTTTTGCAGATTCCAGTTCACATTGACAACTTCTTTAACACATTGACAAATCTCACTTCGGACAAACAGATTGAGATACAGACAGACAACTCTCCATACGCATGGACAAATAGTTGTGCTACAATAATGCCCCCCATAGATTTTGTCCTGTCTCTTCAACTGAAAGCATGTAGTGAAGAGATCTTTAAGTGGCTAACACAGATATAAGCATTTTGAGATTTGAAAATGTATAATCAGTGTTTTATGTATTTCTGTATTTAGTGAAGATGTGCATCGCAGGCAAGCCCCAAACCAGTAAATAACAAATGAACTTATTCAAGATGAGATTGCTTCTATGCCTGAAGAACCTCTACAGTCTAGCTTCCAAACTTTACAAATAAAAACAAGTTCAAAGGTCACAAAATACATACAAAACTGACGACAATGTGCTTTTGTAATGCTGCAGTGAGCATTTATCTTAGCCACATCTTTACAGCCAAAGCAGGTCGGCAGCCTTCCTTCAGGCTGTTTGCAAATCTGAGGACTTCAGTTCATTACTAGAGTCTGAGAAGCAGCCTGACAGAAGATGGAAGAAATATTTCTTTACTTCTCCCTCTGGGCTCTTCTGCCCGTGTCCTGGTTTTAATGTAATTATGCTTCACATTTGAGCCTTTCAATGACGATGGACAGCTGTCAGAGCGCTGAGTGCCCCCAACTGATGCTCATCCAGCAGAATTTGACCTTTTTGTGACATTTCAATCTTTAGTCAGGTATGTTTTATGTTTTGTGGTTGTTGCTGCTCACATAAAGCCCCATTTACTTCAGTACTTTTATTACCTCTTGCACTTAAAAACGTTGCGGAAGTAAATTTTTTTCTTTTTGTTTGTTTGAATTTTAATGGGAAAGTTTTCTGTAAAAGTCCCGCAGCATGCAAATAACAGGAAAGGTGCTTCTTCGAGCTTCTGAATTACACACTGTACACATGGCTACAGCAGGCTCCAGCCTACAGGCATACAATCAAAAAAAGTCATAAAGGTTTCACAGTGGATCCAGGTGGGAGTTGCTGGAAGCATGGCTGATGGCGAATGCTGTAACATCACAATGTTACAAAACTCCTGATGGCTCATTTTCAAGGCAGACTCTGTAAATGCAAGCTGTGTGTAACTCTCTGTGGACTGAGCATGTTCATACATTCATGGTAATCACATGTGCAGCACCTAGAGCTGCTGTCTAACCAAACAAAAGACATGGAAGTCTCACTTTCTACAACATGGGACCTTTCACTACTTCTGTAAATGTGTCACCTGTGGCGGTAATGTGTTGTGGGTCTTCTGTGATCTGCTCCAGTCTACCCAGTAAAGCCTCGATGTTGGCTTTAATCTGAGTCAACTCCGACTTGATCGCCTGAAGCTCTGTTCCTTTCACTGCTGCTGGAGAGAGAGAGACAGAGAGGGGAGATGTCAGTGCCCTTGTTCTTATTAATAAGTCCGCAAAGAGTGCAGTTACATTCCAAAAATTCTGACTCCTACAAATATGATTTTTTAGTGACTTTTTTTGAGAACTATTCTGAGATCCTATTTTTCCGGCCAGGAATCTAACAGTGGTCCTGACCAAACCAAACACTTCAAAACTAACCATATTTGTTTAAATAGCTTCCCATTTTATTGTCACTTGTTGCTGTCACTCACCATTCTGGAGGTACTTCGACTTAAATTTTGTTCGTAAGCATTTAAAAACAGAAAATCAACTTGGAAAGGGGAATATATATATATATTTATAGCTCCTCTTCTCCGGAGGCATGATTGCCCTCAGAGTTACGTCCTATTGTCTCAAAGAGGGCTGTAAATGATGATTCTGGTGTAAACATCTGACATGCAGATGTTCTATTTAGGTAAATGTTTTGAGTTAGCTGTCTTCTCTCTTCTTCTCTTCTCTACTCGTCTTTTTTGGTTAGTTAGTCTTCTTACATGGTCTTCTACCATATTTGCAGCTATGAGAAAGAGTCTCTGAATTCTCTGTGTGCTGCTCTGGAATGCAATAACTTAATGTTCTGTTCCTTAGTACGCTACACTTTGGCATGAAATAATCCCTTTTTTTTCTTTCTTTTTTTTTCTTGTAAATTCTCATCAATAAAGCCAAATTGATTGATTCAGTGTTGAAAAAAAAAAAAGAATTTTGCAATCAACACAGTCAACCACAAGATCTTTAGTCAGGTTGGACACAGGCTTTTAATCCTAAAGATATTGGATTGCATTGAGATTGGGACTGCCATGATACATGTGTCCATTTTTATTCAAGACTATTTGCTTCATCGTCAAGCATCAAAGACTTCCAAGTTAGTGGACAAAATAAAATGGGGAACCCGTGGGTGTCATTTCCTCCCTTGAGATGCTTTGTGAGGCCTTTAAGGCAGCCGCCCTGCGTTGTTGCTTGCTTGTGGGTCTTTCTGCCTCCAGCAATGTCTTCAGTGAATGAAAAACACACATGCCCAGTTGGAAATTAATCATTCGGTAACATTTCATTCCTTTGCCTTATAAAGTCTTTTCTTAGACGTAAAATCCAGAGTGTTGATGAGTTAGCTGAATGTTGTGATGGGAATTCTGTCCACCAAGGGAAAAACTCTGTGAATTATCCACTTTGCTTTTCTTTTGGGGCCTTACAGGCCATCGAGCTTTCCATTCTTTCTTTTTGAGCAACTCAGTCTTCGCAAAATTACATTCCTCTGTGACTACAGTAAACAACATTCTCAATTCTATTTTGAAGGAAACGTATTTTTTGCCAGATTACATTTGTTTGTGACATATCACACGTACATCAAATGTATGTTTCTAATCAACTTATCTTTGCCATCTATTTTATTGCTTTAGTGTTGCTCTTTTTCTGCCAAACAATCAGATATTATAGACGGAACAGGAGTTGTTACCTTGGTAACCAAAAAAATAAAAAATAAAAAATGTAGTGGAAGCCTTAAACATGTGGTTGAAGGGTCATATTTTAACCCAAAGCATGATATTTTCCTGAACTTAAGCATGTAGTTTTGGTGCCTAAACCAGTACACAAGTGAAAAATGACAATAAAAAACGACTTAACTAAACTAAATTCTGAGGCTGATTCTCTCTTGTCCATTACAAGACACAAACTGTGGTGCTCTGAGTGAAAGTTTGGTTGCTGGTTTATATATAATTGCATTTCCTTCAAGAAGTAATTGAGACTGTATTTTCATTGTATGAGATCATCGTTTTGTGGAGACAGACCGTATCGTATAGTTGATTTGGCCACTCCTAAAGGTTCTGCTATCTCTGATTAGGTTGGTTTAATTTCTTCGGCCTAATGATGCACTCCTTAACTTGCACTGCAGCGTCTTTGAAGTGTATGTTGAGAGCTTCCATGAACACTGAAAAAATTTTCTCTTGAAATAAAGTCCAGACCTTTTTATATCATTAATTTGGGGCGGCTGTGGCTCAGGTGGTAGAGCGAGTTGGTCGATGATCGGAAGGTCGGCGGTTTGATTCCACCCTGTAACCTGTTTCATGGTTGTTGTGTCCTTAGGCAAGACACTTCACCCACCTTGCCTGGTGTGAATGCGTATGAATGGATTGTTTGAGGTGGTGGTCGGAGGGGCAGAATGGCAACCACGCCTCGGGCAACTGTGGCTACAGTCGTAGCTACCACCACCAGAATGAATGTGTGTGAATGAATAATTGACAGTGTACAGCGTCTTTGAGTGTCTAGAAAAGCGCTATATAAATCTGATCAATTATTGTAATTAATTAATTAAATAATTTGTTGTGAACTTTGAAAAAATAGACCACACCTGACCATGAAACTGCTAATCAGTTAAATGTCGAATTACTTAGCTTCTGTTAAAAAAAGGGAGACTGTCAGGGAATGGGGTTTTGGCCTGTGTTGATTCTTGTCCTGCAGGTGTCCACCAGAGGGCGTCCTAGAGAACTCTGCTCTGCTGGGGCTTATTCCCTGCAGGTGTGTTGTCCACACACCTGCAGTTCATCAGTCTTGTCACTCGTGGATAAAACGAGCTGTCACCAGTTACTCAGTGCCTGAGTGTTGACCCATGTGGTGACTTCAAGCCACTTGCCGAGTTTTCCTCTTGTGTTTCCTCGTGCCTCCCTCTGAGCTTCCGAGTGACTGTCTCTTCTTCTTTGAAGATTTTTTTCCTGTGTACCCGCTCTATGTTTGTGCTTCCCACAGCCAATCTGCGTCAGACCCGAGTCTTCTCCGTTGCTCCCTGGATTATCTGCTCACGACCGGTAACACTCCTGCCTTTTCCTCATTCCTCTGCATCGACCACCGTACAGCCTGCCCGCCCCAGCCGTCTACAAGACCTTCACTGATGTTCAGGCCTGGTTCAACCTCATCATTGCACATTTCCAGTAACTGTAATAAACCTCATTGTTCTAACTCCTCTTCTCCTGAGTGTCATTCTGCATGTGAGTCAGAAACATCAACAAAACCATGACAGGGACTTTGTAGAAAAAAAAAAAAAGACTAATTCCTGTAATGTAATGCAAAATTGCTGTTGAACCCTTTAAAGCTACACTTCAATCTCATCTTAACACAACTGGCTGGACATCTGGCAGGACTTTTGGTTATATGGTGAACATTTAGAGGAGAAACCACAAACTGTTGGCTCTTTGTTGTGAGCTTCCAAAAAAGGACGCGGCGCAGAAAAAAGAAAAAAAAAAAAACTTTCATTTTGATAATACTTTCTCAAAACATTGGAAAAGCAAGTTTGATGAGTACACGGAAAGACATTTGAATCAGTGACATGAAACTGCTTTGTGAGCGCACAACTCAGCAAAAAACCACAACAAAACCTTCTGCTGGAACAGAGAGGTTCAGGACCAAGTCAAATGTGAAAGGAGCTGACGGGGCGTCAGCATCTCTCTTCAGATCCGCAGTCTGAACACAATTTGGATTGAATGTTTAATGAGCAGAATGCAAAAATAAAGTGACAACAGCCACCCTGATGTTTGAACCTTCTGCTGACATGTAAACACAAGACTTGAAAGACAGATGAAGAGGAGATTTGGGTCAGAAGGGTGGAGTTGGTGAAAGTCAGAAAATTATAAGAGAAGAGGAAGCGAACCATGCAGACAGAAAGACAGCCGATGGTGGATTAGATCACAAAACTGCACTGTTTAGATTCAGTTTCCTTTACCTTTATTTGATCAGCATTCATTGTAATTGCTGCTTGTAGCAGTTAATGGTATTGTTAAAATCATCTAAACTGATTCTATAGCTTATTAAATACGACATTTTTCTATCAAAATCCCATCTTTGGTGCACATTTCTACACCAATGTTATCTTATAAGATGTTCTATTTATATAAATGTCCCCACATATAGAGGTGATGGAGATGATCGAAATGTGTTTAACAGTTTCAACAAGCCGAAAAAAAGGGCAAATAATTTAGCTTGACTTGGTTTACTCTAGTATTATACAGAAAAATGTTTTTGCCAATAACTTATTCAATTTAGTGACATAGAAAATGTGCTGATTTAATTATGCTGTTGTACTGTTGGGGTATTTTACAGGGTACTTTACAGATACGTACATGCTGTAGCACTCTGGTACTGTGTACTTTCTATTCTTTATTTTCTCTGATGTCTTGTAAACCCTTACATCCTCAGCATCAATGCATGCATGACGCAACAATCCAAACTCCATTCATTCCATTTTTACATCTAGACAAGGTGGAACTCACATCTCTGTTTGTTGCCGTTGCTGGTGGGGAGGACGGAGGCATTACGTGCCAACAGTTTGACTGGCAGAGATTTGACCCGTCGTAACAGCGGCACCGCCACTCGCGGACGTTTGACTGGCACCACCCGAGGAACCGGAGATACCCTGCCATGGTACTCAAACAACCTGAGAGGAAGGCAGGGGAAGGGAGGAGAGGGGGAGAATCAGAGAAAAGAAAAAACAGAAGGGGAGCGTTGAAAAGGACGGAAACAAGGACAGGACAAGAGGCATTTGGAAAAATCCGAGAAGCAAAATGGGAGGAAAGACAATGAGAGAAAGAATAAAACCAGGATATAAGAATTATGGAGAGGATTGGGAGGAGACTTAATAGGAAGGAGCTGAGGAGAAATAAATGAAATGAAAATCACCATTTGTTGATCAATAAAGAATGACTTTCAAAGATGCCAAACATTTACATTTACATACGTTTAATCTGTAACCAAAAATAAGTTTTGGAAGAATTGCATTGCTGCCTGTTTTTTTCTTTCTTTCACTAACACAATTACGATCACAGTTATTAATATGGAGGGTATTTTTCTGAATTGTCCACTGGCAACTGACACAATTTTCAGAATTATGCTTCTGTGCTCCACAACAGCGGATTTTAAATAAAACAACCAGAATGTGATAAAGACTTTGCTAGAAAACATGTAAAACAACAACAACAACAACAAAAAGAACAAGATTCTTTGGACAGCTGGACCCCAGATTCATTTGTTCCAGAATGATGGAGACAGGATGGTGAAGGAAAGGAAGGGCTCACAGTACATCATCCGTCAAACATGGTGGCGGCGGTGTTGTGGCATGAGTATGTATGGCTGACTGTGGAACTGAGCCACTGGTGTTCATTGATGATGTGACTGCTGACAGAAGTAGCAGGATGAAGTCTGAGAAGCATAGATGCTTTGTGCCCAGATTTAATAAAGTCTGGTAAAACTGATAAGATAGCCATCCGCAGTACAGGTGGACAATGACACAAAACATACTGTGAAAGCAATCCAAGACTTACGAAATGAAATGAAATGAAAAATACTTTACTTAAAGAAAGAAATGAAATGTTCTTAAATGGCCCAGCTGAACTTTTTTTACTACTTATTGAAGGCAGATCTTGAGGCAGAAACTCTCAGAAACAAGCAGCACCTGAAGGCAGCTGCTTTAAAGGCCTGGAAAAGCATCCAACGGGAGGACAGTCAGCATGTTTTCAGACCCAGGATTTGCATCAAATATTAAAAATAAGCTTTATGTTTGCAATTACACTAGCTTGTAAAAAGGGAAGGAACCATGTAAAACAGGGATTGCTTAATTTCAAATGAATTCTGGTTGTAAACAGAGGCAAACTGATAGTGGTACTGTCCAAATATTTATAGACCTGACTGTATATTATTTGGTTTTCTTTCTTTTTGGTCTCCTTTCCTTTTTACTTTTCTCCTAATGTTAGTGTTTCTGATGCCCACATGTAGGGCTACGATTAATCCCAGTCAACAGTGCCAAAGCACTGATTTTATTAAATTAGAGAAAAATTCTTCAAATTGTACTTGTGCTGCATGCATGATACACTAACGGTGTGCTATTTGGCAGTGATTATAAAATAACATAATCAACTTTAGTTTGCGTTCTTGCAGAAAATAATGCAAACTGCATAACAGTAGTCAAAAGGTAAACATATGTTTGACCTCAAAGTTGCTCACAGGTGCAGTTAAACCTAACCATCGTGCAAACAGTTCCTGCTTCCTGTCTCAACCTCATCATGTGCTGGTATTTACAGTGATCACAGCTTCCTCAGCTCCTATTACCTACTGTCTAATAGCACTTTCTGCACAATCAATTGATTTCAGGTTGTAGCTCAGACTTGCTGTGAACTACGATGTGTGTCACAAAAGTTCCAGGACTGATGTTACAAAAGATATATTTCAAACCCAAACTACAAACTACCAGTTTTCCCCTTCAGATGATCAACCAGCATGTCTACAAGGAGATCCTGCAGTGTTTGCTTCGTTCAGTGAAGAGGCGAGAGTTGTGGCAGGACAAGTCGTGGCTGCTTCACCATGACAACGCGCCTGCTCACAATGTTCTGAGCATCCGACAGTTCCTGGCTTAGAAGAACGTCGTCGTGCTGGAGAACCTCCCTACTCACCCCACCTGGCTCCGTGGGATTTCTTCCTCTTTCCCAAGCTCAAGGGGGTCATCAGGGGGACCTGTTTTGAAGATGTGGACGAAATCAAGTGCATGGCGGCGTGGCAGAGAAGGCTGGGACAGTGTGTTAGACTTCAGGGGGATTACTTGGAAGGGGAAACTTGTAGTTTGTAGTTTGGATTTGACATATATCTTCTGTGACACCAGGCCTGAAGCTTTCCTGACACACCTCGTATGTCAGGAGCTTCTCAGGAGAAACAACAATTTGGACGCAACTCGAGTGGCTGTGCATTAATTATGTTGCTTACTAGCTGTAATTTTTGCTCTAGCAGCGCAATGCAAAAAAAACATCAGATTCACACTTTAATACATCGCTAAGAAACAGGTAAAACCCAATTCAGCTATAGAACCTAAACAGGAAATTAGTATGTATGACAAGTTTTCGTGCTCTTCATTGTCTGCCATTCTCCTGCATGATGGTACATGGTGCTTGGTTAGTGACCATCGGCTGCACACTACTTTTCATGGTGCATTGTGGGATATTTTGAGTGCACTATATAGGGTGTTATAACAGTTGTAGTTGTAACTTAACATTCGGACAACAGTACAGATGGCCAACACTCTATATAGTGCACTATACATAGGGTGTAGTGAGTGATTTCGGAGACAGTCCATATTTGTTGAAGGTTGACCCAGAGAGCAGTGAGGAGCGAAACTGACTGACAGCCTGAATTCACTCTGCCCGCTGAACTTTGACTTTGACTTTGAAAATCTTTAATGTCCCCGGAGGGCAATTTGGTTTGCAGCAAAAGTTAGAATCACACAGTAAATCTCACATGG